GGGAAAATAGTTTTTGTGAGCCGCCGGCTCCAAAACCAACCCCATCATAGCTGCGCCACTACCATGTCAGCCGCAGTGAACTACAAATACGGCGCGCCTACTTGGCGCGTACTTATAAAACTTGAAAGCAAAAAATTATTTGAGTAAATAAATAAATCAAAACCAACACCACAAAATTAAAGAAATAAAATATACCAAGAGCCCAATGGAAATCTATCCTCTTACTTTTCTTTAGACTATCTTTATTCATAACCCAACCCAACCCAATTCTTTTAATAAAATACTCATTTCTCTCTCCTCCACTTATACAACCCACAGCCCAATTCTATTTCTACTTTTATCCATGACACCAACCCAACCTAATATTTTTTCTTTTCACTTTATTTTTAAATAAAATTAGATATATTAATTTGTATTAAATTAAAAAATAACAAAAATATATAATTATAATGCAAAAATATTACCGTTCATTTAAATAATCGATATTTAACTTAACAATAAAATAAAATTTATAAGAGTTGAAATATAAAATTAGAAATAAATAAACTGAGTTACAAATAGTTGTATAAAATTACAACAGAAGTGAAAATTACATATTTAATTACGAGTTCCGAATTTTTCCCATATGTGCTCAATCAAATCATTTTGAAGAGAACGATGAGCTTCTCTGTTGCGAAGTTGATCCCTATTGATCATATAAGCAGATAAACTCGAAATGCGTTGTGTAGAGTAGTTGAATTCAACATCTTGTGATTGGACTCTTGTAGGTATATCCGTAAGAAATTCTGTGGGATCATAATAGTTTTGGTATGTGTCTCGTTCATCCTCCACTATCATATTGTGCATAATGATACAAGCCATCATTATTTTTCCCATCACTTCCTTATCTCAAATGAGACATGGACATCGAAGTTATGCAAAACGAGCTTGTAAAACTCCAAATGCTCGCTCAACATCTTTTCTAGCAGACTCTTGTTGTTGAGCGAACAATTTGTGTTTTTGGGTCTGTGGAGCAGTTATTGACTTGACAAATGCAGCCCACGAAGGATATATGCTGTCAGTGAGGTAATATGCTCTATCATATTGACGACCATTCACTTTATAACTAACTTTTGGTGATCGGCCTTCTAACACATCAGTAAAAATAGGAGATCGGTGTAATACATTAATATCATTGCACGAACCTGGTGTTCCAAAGAACGCATGCCATATCCATAGATCATATGTGCAACAGCTTCCAAAATAATTGTTGGAATTCCACCTCTCCCCGTATATTGCCCAGCCCACGCAGTGGGACAATATTTCCATTTCCAATGCATGCAGTCAATACTACCAATCATGCCTGGAAAACCACGTAGTTCCCCAACATGGAGAAGCCTTGTCAGATCCTCTTCATTAGGCCTTCTCAAATACCTTTCACCGAAGCAGGAAGTGACTCAATCGATAAAATGTAAAAGGGACTTTCTTGTCACAGCTTCATTCATTCGTAAGTATTCATCAACAACATCAGATGATGCCCCATATGCAAGCACCCTCATTGCTCCAGTACATTTTTGTAGAGGTGAAAGGCCTCGTCTTCCTGTGGCATCACGCCTTTGTTGAAAATATTCATCATTTGCTGAGATGGCCTCCACTATACGAAGGAATACCGATTTATGCATGCGAAATCTCCGTCGAAACATCTCTGGACTGTATGTCGGCACCTCCACAAAATAGTCTTTCATTAAACGCTCCTCACCAATCTCACGTTCTCTATTACAATACCTCCTCCTCCTTCTGGTTGTTGGCATTGGAGTGCCTACAATCAGATTAGGATTGTGTATGATTATATCTTCAATGATCCTATCAATTGGATGATTGTGTTGTTTTGCTCGTTCTTCCCATTCATCATATTCAGGGATGTGGAAAGAATTAGAGCTAGAATCTAAATCAGTTGAAGAGTTCTCATTTTGAGACATTTTGTAAATCATGAGCACACTTTCAAGAAACAAAGATAAAATAGCTAATGTAGAGAATTTTGTGTGATGTTCATTGTAATGCAGATCGTATATATAGAATATATTTGAACAAAGAAAGAAGATAATTCTTTACCGACAAGCTATAAAGTGAGTGCATGTAATTATTTACCGACAAGCTATAAATTATATGTGAATAAAGTGAGTGCATGTGAATAAAGTGAGTGCATGTAATTATTTACCGACAAACTATAAATTACATGTGAATAAACTGAGTGCATGTGAATTGTCTGAGTGCATATGAAGAAATTTTGGATCGTAGCTAACATTATTTCTGACAAGTCCATGTGAACAAGAGGTGTAAAGAGGGTAATAAAGATAGATGTTGACATATCATAAATAATTGCATCTGAATTGAAAGATACGTTAGATTACACAAACTAATTTAAAAACATACATAAAAATACCCAACTAAAACACACAGTACATTCATTCTCCAAATACAATTGCCATAAGCTTGCGTTTTGTCTCCTCATTTGCTGGAGACAAATGTTCTTTTGCTAACAAGGTATTCAACATTTTTTCTTTCATCTTCATCCTTGAGGCCTGCAACTTTTCACGCTCTAATTCCATTTTAGCATTAGACACACTCTTCATTGCCTCCGTTTCGTTGTCCCTGGAAAGTCTCAATGCACGAATTTCTGCAACAAATTCATTAAAGAAATCAGATTGTGGCATCTTACCTTTTCCTTTTTTTTCGCCTTATCTCTACCAATAGGATGGGAAGGAGTGGAACATCCGGTACTTGGAGTTTCTTGATAGGAAGGCCTAGGATACTCTGCATCTTCGGAAGTCCTTGATCTTTTGGTGCTTCCACCACTTTCTTCGTCATTACCCTCTTCATCTTCAGGACGAAAACGAGTTTTATCCTGAAGCGGTATCAACTCCCACTTTGGATGTTTACGCATAACTTCATTGAAGACAATCGAATCCTGAAACTTACTACCACCTGCTTCATAAATTCTATGAGCTTCGTTCTCAACATCCTTGTCGGTCATTCCATTTCTTTTCCGAACACACGCTTCCTTGTAAGCAGCCACCCACTTGTTTGAATTTTCATTAAGCCATTTCCAACGACCTTTCATTGATTCGATATTTCTTTCGTTCAGCTCATCCAGCTTTTCTGCTTGGTGTTCGTGATACAGATTGTGCACACGAGCCCATAGCGAGACTCCTATTTGATTTCTGCCACGTATGTTATCTTCGCTAACGAAGATCCACGATGACATAAGAGTTATATCTTCTTTCACACACCACTTATTTTTGGTCCCCTTTAGATTTTTGTTAGGACGTTGAACATTTTCAAACAAATTGCGGGAAATTTTTTCTGATGTGAGCACATCTTGAGAGGTGTGAATTTGGCTAAGATTTGGAGAATTTTGATAATATTGAGAACTATGCTCATATTCGGAATTTGGAAATTGTTGAGAATTCGGATATGGAGCAAAATTTGGATAATTTTCGGAGTTGGGTAAGTTGTCTGAGTTTGGATAGTTTTGGGAGTTGAAAAAATAATTTGGATAGTTTGGATCCATAACCTCAAATGAAGAATAGAGAGAAAATATAGAACAGGAAATGTGTGAAGAAAAGAGAGGTTGTATTTAGTTGTGAAATTGTATCAATATTATACTCTATTTATAGAGAAAAAAAATATGAATTTTGATATAATTTTTATTTATTTTTTATTTAAAATTATTTACAATATTATTAATTTAAAAACATAAAAAAAAAATACAACCCACCACATGCTGCCAAGTGGCAGCTTGTGGTTCATTCAAAAATGGGTTGGTCGACATGCCTAGGTTGATGACTCTGGTGGGGAAAAATTTAATTTTTACTTTTTTTTTCTTTTGTCGTTTCTCACGCTACTGCCCCGGTGGCGTTAATAAAGATGGTCTTACAAATTTCTCTCTTTTCCCTTTTAATAAAGAAGAAAAAAAAAGCCCACACTCCACAATAGAAGAGCCAACAGCACAACTCGGAAATAATAAAAGAAAAATATAAATTTTTCGTGTGTCTGCCTAATAATTAAGCTGATTATATTTTAATAAAATACATTTTTATGTTTATAAAGTATCGTAATTTTATTTATATTATTTTTTATAGTATGTCATTTTAATTTAAAGTATGCACATTTATTCAAAAAATAGTTGTCTAACAGTTAGTGCCGCTTGCACTTAGGCAGATGACATATTTTTGTTTAAAAAAACTATATGCTTATGTTATGAAATATCATACTTTTATTGATGTTATTTTTAAAAATATACATTATAATTTTGAAATATACACATTTATCGAAAAAATATGATTGTCTAACTGTTAGTGTTATTTGCCTTACTATTAGGTGGATTGGTTTTTCATATTTTTATTTAATAAAAATGCTTACTTATATTATGAAAACCATACTTTATTTATGTTTTTTATTAAAACACGACATATAAATTTTAAAGTATGCATATTTACCAAAATAATAATTTTTTTTTGTTAGGTTGACCTCACCATTATATCGATATACTTTTATATGCGTATTTTTATTAAAAAAATATATATTTAAAGAATACAATATAAAATAAATATAATTTTTAATAATATAAGTATATATTTTTGTTCACGATGAATCAAACTCCCTAACAGCTATAAAAATTTATATTATGGAAAATATTTTTGCATTGTGTGAACTATATATATAGACTGACCTGTACGAGTGTTGAAAATAATATAAAAATAAATTAACAAACAATCTCTCTCTCTCTCTGTTTCGCTTTCTCTCTCTCTCTTCCCAACTACCAAACCCCTCTCGATCAAGCACCTTCTGTACTGTCACACGATTACGCCCGCAATTGTGTTATAATTTGGGGGTATATAGATACAGACACACACTGACACACACATATCGCCAGACGTAATTTGTTCAGTAAGTATCATTCTATATTTGCATATATAGCACAATTTTCTGTATACACTGTAAATTGTATATATCTATAGAGAGGGATTGTGGGGGCGTGTTTATGGAGAGGTATAGTGGGACCCAAGCAATGGAGGGTGCTCCGGTGGATCCGGTGGCGGAATGGGCGGCGCCCGGCGGGGAAACCGGGCTAGAAGGCGAGTTGTTNACGAAACCCATTTGTATTTTGCTTCAATTTGAGTCAAACATGCGGACCTCACCTTGAAATTTTGTAATGTTGATTGATCTGAGGTTTGATTTGTGTGAATGCAGAGCCCATGTGGCAGTTGGGACTCGGTGGTGGGCCCGAACCGTACCCCGTGAGGCCCAATGAGCCCGATTGTATCTATTTCATGAGAACAGGGTTCTGTGGGTACGGCAGTCGGTGCAGGTTCAATCATCCCCATGATCGGAATTCGGTAATAAAAAACACAACTTTGAGCTTTAGTGTTGGGTATTGATTCTTTTGATGCGTGATTGGTGTGATTAATGAAGTTAAAGGCTGGATTTACCAGGGCTTTGTGTAGATTTGGTGCTGATTTGCATAAGATTATGTGTATTTTGCTTTCTTCTTTTTCGCTTTTATGAAGTTGAAATGTTGTGTATTTGGGAACTTTTACATTTTGAATGATCACAGAAATTGGTTAAGCATGCATTGAGCTGGAATTATGGGGTTAATGCATTTGGATGTATCGTAATTGTGTATCATGTGTATTTTTGATTGTTTAATGGAGTTTATCATAGTTTATGACTATGGTGGATTAACGCATTTGAGTGGTGCACACTCGTCCTTTTGAGTTGGGGTAATTATTTTAATTTTGTCATAAACGGTGCAAAAACATGGCATTTTCTTATATTTTGGGTTTATAATCTTACACTAGGATTTTGTTTACAAGTTTGGGTGATCGCGTTTCTTAGGCAAGAATGTGTTTGGGCTGACTGATTTTTACTCGCTTGATTACAGGCAATGGGATCTGTAAGGACTAGTGGAGTTGATTATCCTGAGCGCATGGGTCAACCTGTCTGTCAGGTAACAGTGTGTTATTTTGACCCTTTTTGGGGTACTTAAGAGTATATACTACATAATATTGTTGGAGAAATGTCATAACTACGTAATAGAAATAAAGGCAAATGAATTAACCTAATGTGGTAGGACATGCATATTTATTAACTAATTTGTGGCTCATAAATGTACCACTAAATGAATTTATTGTGTTTATTTATTACTAAATTTTTGAGGGAAAACATCATTAATTCATCTTCTTGTTGGGTTTGAAAGGTGAGTCTGTGTTATATGATCATGTATTTGTTTTTCTTAATTTCTCTTAGCATGCCAAACTAGATGGTTGTGCCAAAGTGTTAGTATGTGTGTTTTATGCTATTTTGTTAACTGGTCCTCATGTTGACTATTTAAGGATGCTGATCTTTGATCCATGTGGTTAAATCCTTGACATTGGCAAAAGTGAATTTACCAGGTTTATCCGTCTTTTTACTGTTCCATGTTAGAGGAAGGTGCAATTCTGAGTGATTTATGGTGTTTTGTAGGCTTGTTATCTTATTACGTCCTTTTGTCCTGTTTTCATTCAGTTTGAAGATCATTTGTTGGTTTCATTTTGTTCTGCTTTTCCTATTTGGAGTCCATATCCTTTTATTGACTGTTTATAATAAAATAATGTAAATTTTCTGGTTGGTGTTAGAATTTGAAAATTTACCTGTTGCAGTCTGCTGTTAAACTCCTAAGCTATTTTATGAAGAAAGCAACTTGTTGTTGTTGACGATAGATTCGTCTTCGTTGGTTGCCCTCTTCATAATCTGTTGAAATCCAGCATGCTCTTTTTTCCTAGTATCAGCTCATTCTTCAAGAAATATTTTATTTGTGAACTTTCTTTTCCCGAACTCATCCTTTTCAGCATGGAAATTGGATTAATTTGTTTGAACATATATAAGTTTGTCTCAATGTAATAGCTATAACACTACAGCTTGGACAAAAAGGATTTGAAGTGGGTGTTTTTTTTTTTTCCTCTCATGATTTGTCAGTTGTACGCAGACCTTACCCTTGACCCCAACCTGTTGGGAATATACTGGGTATGTTGTTGTTGTTGTTGTTGTTGTTGTTGTTCATGATTTGTCAGCACAGCTTCCTGATTTTTAGTTTCACATTTATCCCCCCTTTTGGTATATTTCGGTGAATAATGCATATAGATCTATTAAAGCATCTGATCTATATCTACTCTTATAGGATTCAAGGGAAAACTCACACATTTCATGCCATATTTATTATATAATTCATATTGCTAATGTTCATATATCTGCAGAGAAAGTTATGATCTGGTGTTTGTTGTGTCCAAACCAAGAAAAGCTAAATGTCGAATTGACTTGTTTAACTACTACTGAACCTGTCCGTGTTGATGGTATCTTGTCATGAATTTGCACCTTATGCTACTTTTCTCCCTTATTAGCATTATTACTTATTTACATTGTCACACACTCACTCACATGCTACACTNTAAAAAAAAAAAAAAAAATTAAAAAAAAAAAAGAAAAAAGAAAAAAACTCTACCAAAATTAGTTGCTCCATCATTTACCATAACCAAAATTACTTTTCGTACTTTGGATTACATAATGTGTTTGCTAACAAGAACCACACACATTTTATATTAAAATATATTTCGAAATGAATTTTGTAGTACTACATGCGGACTGGGATGTGTAAATTTGGGTCTACTTGCAAGTATCACCATCCAAAGTATGGAGTCGGATCTTCAGCTCCCATCACACTCAACTTCTATGGATATCCATCGAGACCGGTCTGCTGCTTTTTTTTTTTTCTTTCCCAATTTAGGATTAATTACCAAACTATCTTTCTATATTTATATATTTAGATCCCCCCTTGATATTAGTTTCTATTCTACAAATTGCTCTTTCGATAAAAGGGGTCAAGAAAGTGCAGAGAATTTTGAAACATATTAGGCCAGACCTCTAAGTTAGTTTATCTAATTATTCCCTTTTGTAGGGAGAAAAGGAATGTTCGCATTATATGAAAACCGGGCAGTGCAGGTTTGGTGTTACGTGTAAATTCCACCACCCACAACCGTCCGGTATACAAGTGCCTGGTTTAGCTGCTCCACCAGCTGGGCCTACAGCTGCAGTTTATCCAACCATGCAATCTCCTTCTCTTCAAACTTCTCAACAATATGGGCTTTTTCCTGGGAATTGGCCCGTCGCTAGGCCCAACATTATTCCGGGCCCATATGTTCCTGGAGGTTATAGTCATATGGTCCTACAGCCTACAGGAGTTATCCCTGTTCCCGGTTGGGCTCCCTATGCAGTAGGTTTTCCAAAAATGATCTCAATTTTCTTAAAGCTGCTATTTTTTTTTTTTTTTGCTGTCTGTTTTAAACTATAGAAGTACAACAATTTACAGACACCTGGGGCCTCTCCAAGTACCCAACCTACTGTTGGTGGCGGTTCGATTTACGGGATAACACAGTTATCTCCTTCTATTGGCCAGTCGAGTAGCAACCAAAAGGAACATGCATTTCCCGAAAGACCCGGTCAACCAGAATGTCAGTATTATTTGAGGACAGGAGATTGTAAATTTGGCTCTACGTGTAAATATCATCATCCACGCGAGTTGGCTGCACCAACAATGAATTTTTCACTACTCAGTCCCATGGGTCTCCCTTCACGCCCGGTAAGCATTCGATCGATCCTCTTTTCGAAGTTGGTTGGAATATTCTGAAATTATGTGTGTGTGCAAGATTTAAGCTTTTGCTATCAAGTATCAATACAAACTGCTGATCTGAATATGCATGATCCTAGCTTATCATTATATTCGCAACTGTGGATATATAACCATGTTAGTTATTATTTGGGCAAAATTGCATTTTTTGGGCAAAATTGCATTTTTAGTCCTGTCGGTTTAACGCTGTAGCATTTTTAGTCTCAAGATTTCAACTTTTTGTCTTTTGATCCTGTAATTAAATATTTTGCTGCGATTTCAGTCCCAAAAAATACTAAAAAATACTAAATTACCGGACTTAAATTGCTAATTCCATCCAAAAAGATTTTTTATTAGCAATTTAAGTCCTGTAATTTTAAAATTTGTGGTATTTTCAGTCCCAAAGGACTGAAAATGCCACTGGATCAAACCAACCGGACTAAAATTGCAATTTTGCCTTATTATTTGTAGTTTTTATGCCTCATATGTTATTGCTAACTAGTTCTTCCCCGTGCATTTGCACGAATAAAAGAGAAAGTAATTAAAAATACAGAATAAAATAAAAATCATACAGAAAAAAAAGAAAATAAAAAAAAACGAATCTAAATATTACTAAACACTTCAAAAGTCGTGATTTTTCCCATCAGAACAAATCATTATCGTTAACCCTCTTAGACTCGTGACTCCGGAATTTGATTTTTCAAAATATTTGATGTATCTTTGTAATATCCCAAAAAATATTTTTTTATTATTGTATGACAACAATAGAAAATAGAGATATTTGTAGTTATTCTTAATTAATTGTGAAATATATATTTACTGAAAAATATATAGTATCAATATAAAAAAAAAAAAAATTGTATTTCAAGACATGAAAAAACGTTACAGAAATGGGCTCCATAAAAAATGGGACCAGTCAAAATAATTGATGTAACTAAATGTTACATATTATTATTAAATGCTGGCTGAATAAAATTTATTGAAACTTGCCAGCAATTATATATATATAGATGTCATGTGTCTTTTTTCTGATTCTTTTCTTATGCGAAATAGTTGAAAAATTATGCCTAGTTTTCTCAATTTTCTCGTTTATTCAGGGCATGCCGATTTGTTCTCACTATGCGCAAAGCGGGATGTGCAGATTTGGGCCCTCGTGCAGGTTTGACCACCCAATGGGCTCTATGAGCTACAGCCCATCAGCATCGTCTCTAACCGACATGCCTGTGGCCCCTTACCCTGTGGGGTCCACGAGCACAGCATTGGCTCCTTCGTCATCCTCATTGGACCTCAGGCCCGAAAATCTTTCCGGGCCCAACAAAGATTCGGTATCCCAAATACCTACTGTGAACAGCTCAAGTACGTCGGTGGGCTCGATTCTCTCGAAAAGTGGGCCCACGCCTCAATCGGGCTCCTCGAGTTAGAGCGCGTTTTGCTCTCCTCGACTGTAAAAGCCTCGGGCCTTTCGATTGGAACGGTGCATTCTTCAAGAAATAATAAGCGCCTCAATTTTTGCGTTTTATTTATAAAGCCATCGAAATAATGAAAAGTTGAAAACACAAAAGATGACTCTCTACCATTCAGGCATTGCATTTAAAATTTTTGAAGCTTCTTCTTGTCTGTTTATGTATTTTTTTTCTTCTTTCTTTTCCTTTCTTTGGAAGATAGTTTTCCAGTACGCTTCACTTTCTCTTTTTTTCAGTAATAAGGAGTGCTTGGTTGACTTGTAGATTTATCCATAATATGTACGGAGATGTGTAGCCATGTAATACTCTGTTTTTTGAATATATCTATACTCTATAGTGCATCAAACAGAATTTGAGAAAATTAGATCATTCACCTTCCAGTACTCTTGTTGAGATCACCATCGCCTAATTGGTGAAGGTCATTTTTCCCCCACCCAAATTATCCAGTTTTTTGTGCCTCTTAATGTTAAGAAGTGGTCAAAATACCACTGTAGAGTTTGCGAAATTGACTATTTGGTCAAAAAAAATTTCTAGTCGATTCCACAAATGAAATGAAAATTTTCATCTCGATGGACCAGAAATTTTAAACTGGAGCCGATTTATTTTTCCAGTCAAGATTTATTTATTGATTAGTATATATTTTTTTATGAATTAGCTAATTTGTTGTAGAGCAACATTTAAGCATAGAAAGAACTTCATATTTATTTATTTTTTTCAATCAAAATTTACTTTTTTATNCTAATTTATTGCAGCAACATTTCTGAAAAAAATGACCAACTAATTGCATATTTTATAAAATTTTACCATGATAGTAATACACAAGCTAGCCATGGGTATCGCTAGAAGCTTGTGGAGAACTTCGTATTGAGCGAAAAAAATATTATGTCCTACTTTTGTAGCCAGAATCTCTTTTAGAAGCCATGGGTATCGCTAGAAGCTTGTAACATTCCACGTTGAAGCGGATAAACATGAAAACCATTGGTATTTTATCACGAGAACTCTAACTTAACCCTACATGCATGTATACTAGAGCTTGACAGCATATATTCTTGATAATCTCAATGAATTTTGACCATTTTTGTTTTCAATCTTGAATTAAACAACTCAAATTAAGAATAATTACAAAATTAACACTGGAATCTAGCTTCATTACAAAGTGATGCTGGCTTAGATATGAAACTATTTAAAAATTTGTATAAAGCACGTGTCACCTTGCATCTAACAGACCAAAAGTCTGTTGCGTGTCCCATGACTCATCAAAGGGGTTAATGCACTAAACCTTCGTGTATTATACTAAACTAGTGCGTGGCCCGTGCAATGCACGGGAAAACAATATTACGATTGTTATTATAAATTAAATATATAAATAACATTAATCATGATATACGTATTGTTTTTACATTAAACCGGGTTGGACACAGTCTGACCGGATGGACGGAGAACCGATTTATAACTAATCTAGTTCGTTTGAATAAGATATTTGCTTTTGAATCCGTCAACACCAGTCGGTTGGATTTGTAGGATCGACACGATTTTTTAAATAAATTTTATTATATTTAAAATTATTTTAATAAAATTACATATTTAAATAAAATAGAGATTTATAAATTATTTATCAATTAGTTTAAACATTTGAATTTATAAATTTTTTAAATATCTAAGTAACACATTTTGTTTAAATTTATTACAAAAAATACTATATATATATATATATTAAAATGTTTATAAATTAAAATCTGAACAAACCACAAATAATTTAATAAAATAGCTTGACCGTTTCGATGATGGTCCAGTTCTGAGAACCTTATATTTAATGTACATTAATAAATATTATAATAAAATATTTTTTAATTCACATAAATATTAATAAAATGATATATAAATATTCACAAATCATTAAACATGTTGTCATAAAAGTATTGTTAATACGATTATTTGAAATTTAGACTACATCACATTCACGTAATAAAATATTTTCAATATAAAATTTATATTTAGGTTCAATAATCGATTTGGTGTGATCGAACTGATTCATAACTTAGTCACCTGGGACCAACCAAGTCAACCAAGTTGTGTCAAGTTTTTTGACTATTTTAAATATCACCTAAAAGTAATTCAATCAACCTGAGCAGTACCCTAATTCAATCACCTGATTGATCCGAAGAAATTTTCTTATTTTCTTTAAATATATTTAACTTTATGAAATAAAAATATTTTATGATTCATATAATAAATGTCTACACCAACTGATAGTATATTAAGATTATAAATTATATATCTTAAGATGAATTAATTATTTTTACTTTATGCATATTAATGAAAAATAAACATAGTAATTTTCAAAAAATTAAGATGAATTGATTGATTATGCAATTTAAAGAATATTTTTAGAGTTCAATTTTTTTTAAAGGCACAAATATAAAGACCGAGATTCTAAAAGTTTTGTTATATTTTGAATTGAGATTTTATAAATATAGAGACCGAGATTTTAATTTTGTTCGTTGATTCTAAGAAAAAAATAAAATAAAAACATACACACTTAATAAATCTTAACCGGATTTTTTCAATAATAAAATGAACTATTGTCCGAAATTTAAGATAGCATTTAATGCTGTATGAATTTTAAAAAAAAAATAAGAAAAATAATAAAGCTTATTATTTATAGACTACATTAAATTCTGACCTATTTTTTTGCTACTATTTTTAGTAAATGTTAATTCTTATTATATATATAGATCTGCTATTTTACCCTTTAATATAAAAATTGGGCCGGACCCTTCTATTAACGGTTTGCATGCGCGAATCAGTCCGACGCTGCGATTTCCGGTAGCTGTCCTCAACTCATCCGACTTCTTTCTGCGTAATTCCGAATTTCTGATGTCAATTTTCCGTTCGCCATGATTGGCCCCGGAAGGAAATCATAGAGAATCTTTTAGAAATATTTTGCATTTTCAACACTACGCAATCTTCCTTCATCTGGAAAAAAAAAAGTTCTTGGGCTAAACGCACAACTGTAGTTGTGGTTTGTTAAGGTTTCAGTCGAGAACCCTAAATTTCAAGCCGCCAAAGGTGCGGAAATTCCGATCCTAAATAAAATTTGCACCTGTCTGCGTCAATAATTTCGCCTGTAATTGTTTGCCTCATGTTCACGCTCCGTACCTCGTTCCTCTGATTCAGTTGATGGATATTCGTATTATCTTCAACCGCAATTCTGTATTTGTAAGAAGCTGCAATGATATGCTTACCACTGTTTTTTCCCAAGAAATTTCTCGCTCAAGGTTATGAACCATTCATAAACACGTGTAAAACAATATTTGTTCATTGTGGTTCAGGATGAAAATTGATTGCAAGGTAAAGGAAGAAAGAAGGCGTAATTTGTTCTCTTAAAAGTTCCATTGGATTCTTAGTTTTGTTTTAACGATTTGATCTGAGCTTGAAGTGAGCTGTACCTTAATGATTTCTTTTTTCTGATTTCTTGCTTTCTTTTGTTTTTGTTTTTGCCTTTTTTGTTGTTGTTTTTGTTGTTGTTTTTTTCTGGTGCTTCTTTTGTCTTTCATTTGTTATTGTTTAAAGGCNTATTTATCATCAACTTAGTTTTATAAATGGCACATAACTTATCAACTCTGAATTTCTTACAAACTTTTTTTTTAATAAAGAGCTTTAAAGCGGAGTTTCTAATTTTATATCTCTCAAACTCTAAATTTTAAATTCGTAATTGTCATTTGAATTCTCAGAAGGTAAGAGGCCAGAAAGTTGTGAAACAAATTCGTCTTTCAATTTCAATTTTTTGTGTTGTTATTGCAGAAAATGAGAGCCACGGCCCACGGATCCAAACCAAATCCTGAATTATTTATATTAATTTGTATATTTCATCTCTCGAAATTGCAATGGACCATTGTGACTGAACGAACTCTTTGTGAGGTTTTAGTAAATTTTAATAGATTTTGCGTCCAATTAAACCTCCTAAAAAATTGCACGGTCCAATCATAGCATTATTAATTCTGTCATTTTGTGACTATCAAATTTCAGATCAAATTCTCTTTCAGTAAAGTGAAACAGATGTAAGGCACGGGTGGGTTTAACGGAGTCGGATGGGTTCAATTTGCAATATTGATATAATCATATAATAGTTGAACTAATTTTTTTTATATATAGTGCGAGCCATTTCAGAAAATATCGATGGATACATCATTCATCGAAACCTAACTAGATTCGTGCCTCAATTTGAAAGATTTATGAAGTCGTGCTTTAAATTGTCAAAATTGAATATTTGTACTTAAATTGCAACTAAAGTAAAAGTCAGTGAATTTATTTTGTAATTTTGCCTACATATTTACTTTCGTAAAATTTAATTGCCTTTTTTTTTTTTTTTTTTTTCTCTATTTAATGAGAATCTTGGAGCATTTATAGAAGTTGTTCCTGCTAATACCTTATCCCCCGATACTAAAATATGGTTGAACCTATGTACTATGTGCATTGTTTTTGCAGTTATACATTCGGACCAGTGATCTTGCTGAAGTCTTGTTGCTGAGATGCATTTTCCTATGATTTGGCTTGAAGTGTTCCATTTACCCTTTTGTTTATGCTTTTAAATTAACGTTTTATTCTCTTAGGAGTTCCTTAAATATCTCAAATGAGCTCTTGAGTTGTGAACCTATGATGACGTGTGGCGAGGAAAAATCCATTGCTGATATCGGAGGTGATTCAGAAATGCAGGTTCTGTTTTGGCAATACTCCTTTTGATTTGGGGGTGATTAAGTAGATGTCTTCACCATATGTAATATATCTATATTGATATATATGACTTTATGTGCATGGTTGGCAGTTTGATTATTTATGTCTTGTTGATTAGTTGTAGGTAAATTTATATATTTAATTGAGGACTTGTTTAATGCTCATCCTTTTGTAGATTCATAATGAGAATTTTAAAATGTGGATTGTAAAAGTAAATAGGCGGAAAGTATGTGGTTGCAATCAAATTTCGTTACGGATAGAATTTTTAGAAAAAAAAAAAAAATAGCTCTGAGCTAGCTTTTTCTTTTCTTTGTTCGAGTATTTATAGCATTTTTTGATTGAAATTTTCAGGTAGAGGTACCTTTAGCTCCTGTTCTCAGCTATGCCGAGGAGGTGTCTATGATGGTCAACACTGTCATTCAAGTTGTCATTGGGGTAATTTTATTGAAATTATTATTATTATTTTAATTTATTTATTGATATATTTTATTAGCATGCATACGTGGTTTGGTTGGTTGGTTAGTGAGATGCTGCCCACATGGAGATTCCTTTATATTTTGAAATACCTGTGTTTCTTTTGCCTCTCTTATTCTTCTTCTCTTTTTGCAGTTAGATGCTGTGATTGATATGGCTAGCATACTAGATAAGCAGCCACATGTTAGGCAACTCGTTGGAGATATTTTCCAATCCCTTAAGCTTGCTGATAAAGATGGTGAGCAAGTAGCTGCAACTCTTGGTGCACAAGTGAGAAAGTTGTTTGGAAGTTCCGAGTTTATAAAGGCATGTGTTGACACACATGAGGAGGTATTCTTTAGAATCTGTTTTCGCATGAGGGACAAAAATATTCACTCCAAGCAATTATATATATGATTCATATTCTCATACTAATTTTGTAGGATCCTATGCTGTTAGCACACATTAAAGCGTTCTCATTGGATGCAAATGACCAAGTACGACTGGAATATCTGAAGAGGGATGCCTTGTTTGGATTCTTTTTGGCTCCGAAACAAGACTTTTTCCGTATGAGGTGATAATTTGGTACTTACCACTGTGAATTGGATTTATTAGATTTATTATGTGAAGTGGATTTATTGGATTTATTGATCAATAACTTTTCATTTACATAATACTCCCTCCTATTCATAATAAGTGTCGTTTTGAGAAGTTGCATAATAATTAAGAATATTTATTTTGCCAATAATAATGAAGATAGAGATGAATGTTTTGAGAAAAGATGAAGAGTGAAATGAAAAGACGTAGTGTATTTATTAGCTAAATGAGGGTAATAATGGAAAAACATGTACAAAAGATCTAAAACGACATTTATTTTGGTAATGGTTGATAAAGCCAAAATGACATTTAAAAAGAATAGGAGGTAGTACTAATTACATACTATTGGATCAAATTATGTTACTACTTTGTGGTTGGAAGCATCAACAAGTGTAATTTACTTATTTATTTGTCTTTTTTTCCTTCTTAAAGGGAAGTCTTGGCAATTATACTGGGGTATTGGAGCGATCAAAGCTTGTATCTCAAGTTGATTGATGAGATCAAGAAAGCAGGCGTGGAACTTCAGCGGGTAGATGTAATTATAGCTGATGATGTTGATTATCCTTGTACTGTGCAGGTAGAGATTTTATTATTGCCTCTATTTTTCTCAATATTCCGTCTGGCTACTTTGAAAATAGTGAATTTAACAAGTCAGTGTATATCATTACTTCCAATGGAACGAACGTTCAGGGTTTCAAAGATATGCTGAAAGATAACTATACAAAGGATGTTTATGAGAAGATATGTGAAAAGGTGAGCGAGATGCTATTCTTGTTATAAATCAGGCAACAATTATATGTGTGTATATATGTGCTTGATTGAGTGACGACACAATGACTTGTAAATTGATCTTTTTTTCAACTTGTAGAATGATCTTGATAAACTTTCTCGCAAAGTATGTGGCCTGTCTCAAAGCGCGATAAAATGGCTGTGGATTGAGTGGCGTGACGAAAATACCATCAACGTGCAAATCGCCGGGTATTGGGAATACCCATATTTTGTCCCCAGCAATTGACATTTTTTCTTTCTTTTTCCAGTTGGTTGAGAACTTCTGCTATGAAGTTTGTATGATTGTACTCTGAGTTGTTTCGATCAGTTTTTTATGGCCTTGTTTTATGGATTTTAAACTAAAAGGAGAATTGATATTTGGTGGAGATCTTTTGCTGTGAAATTGTATGATTGTACCATGAGTTGTTTTGATCAGTTTTTGATGGCCTTGTTTTACGGATTTTGAACGAAAAGGAGAACCGATATTTGATTCTTGTGATTTTTCAGAATATGTTCTCTAAGAGTATAAGAACATAGCAAAAGATATATTCAATTTTCAATACTTTGTGATTATTCCGAAAATGTTCTTCAAAACTTGATTGTGCCCATATTTCTTCAAATTAATTGATTATTGTATTTCGTTATACGCTTCATTGACTAGTGCCATTAAAATCCGAGACAAATAGAGGTGTTCATCGGTCAGAAATGTTGTAATTGTAATTGATTGAACTTTTGTCCCAACCTGAAATAAAACTTAAATAATTGGTTTATTAGTAATCCGAGACAAATAGAGGTGTTCATCGGTCAGAAATGTTGTAGTTGTAGTTGTAATTGATTGAACTTTTGTCCCAACCTGAAATAAAATTTAAATAATTAGTCAGAAATGTTGTAGTTGTAGTTGTAATTGATTGAACTTTTGTCCCAACCTGAAATAAAATTTAAATAATTAGTTTATTAGTTTGGCTTAAATAACTGAAATGAATTATAATTAATAATATAATTTAATATGTTTAGCTTTTTAATACTTTTAGTTGAATATTTAAAATTGTTATTGCTGAAAATAAATGTTCGACCGGTTCGGTTATTTTGGTATTATATAAATAAAAGTGAACCAAAACAACTAAAATTTAAAAGTAAAATATCCAAACTGAAATTTACATTTAGGTTGGTTATTTAGGTTAAATTGTATTTTTAGTCCCGTTGGTTTAACGTCATAGCATTTTTAGTCCCAAGATTCTAACATTTTGCCTTTTGGTCCTGTAGTTTAATATTTTGAGACTGAAATTGCAACAAACTTCCAAATTTATAGATTTTTTTATTAGTAATTTAAGTCCTGTAATTGAAGATTTTGTTGCAATTTCAATCATTTTGTTTAAAAATTTTGTTGTAGTTTCAATTTTTTGAGGACTGAAATTGCAGCAAAAAAGTAAATTATAGGACCAAAAGGCAAAAAAGCTAGAACTTTGGGATTAAAATTGCTATGGTATTTAACCAGTAAGACTAAAAATCCATTTTTGCCGGTTATTCATGTTATTTCATTTTTTAACAGAATTTTGAAGTCTTACCTATGGATTTAGAGGAACTGAATTAGGTAAGAAATGAAGGATATCCAACAGTGCCGACTAATTGAACCGAAAGAGGGTAGAGAAGAAAAGGTTAGAACCTGAATTTGATCAAGTTGTTTGTCAATCCTCAAATTAGGATTGCTAAATTAGAGTGTAATATGGTGTAGTAGTTAATTCAAACTGCTGATTTTGAATATGCATGATCCTAGCTTATCATTATATTCGCCATATTGCGAAAAATGCTGATGATTCTACAATTCAGTCGTGTGGATATATAACCATGTTAGTTAATATTTTGGCAAAATTCCATTTTTGGTCCTCTTGGTTTAACGCTGTAGCATTTTTAGTCTCAAGATTTCAACTTTTTGTCTTTTGATCCTGTAATTTAGTATTTTGCTGCAATTTCAGTCACAAAGGACTGAGATTGCAACAAAATTTAAAATTACAGGACTTAAAATTGCTAATCATTAAGTCCTGTAATTTTAAATTTTGTTGTATTTTCAATCCCAAATGACTGAAATAGCGTAGAATTTTAAAATCATAGGACCAAATAGCAAAAAAGTTCAATTCTTAGGACTAAAAATGCCACTGGATCAAACCAACCGGACTAAAATTGCAATTTTGCTTTATTATTTGTAGTTTTTATGCCTCAGATGTTATTGCTAACGTCGCGTATCTTTTTTCTGATTCTTTTCTTATGCGAAATAGTTGAAAAATTATGCCTAGTTTTCTCAATTTTCTCCTTCTTTCGTTTATTCAGGGCATGCCGATTTGTTCTCACTATGCGCAAAGCGGGATGTGTAGAGTCGGGCCCTCGTGCAGGTTTGACCACCCAATGGGCTCTATGAGCTACAGCCCATCAGCATCGTCTCTAACCGACATGCCTGTGGCCCCTTACCCTGTGGGGTCCACGAGCACTGCATTGGCTCCTTCGTCATCCTCATTGGACCTCAGGCCCGAAAATCTTTCCGGGCCTAACAAAGATTCGGTATCCCAAATACCTACCGTGAACAGCTCAAGTACGTCGGTGGGCTCGATTCTCTCGAAAAGTGGGCCCACGCCTCAATCGGGCTCCTCGAGTTAGAGCGCGTTTTGCTCTCCTCGACTATAAAAGCCTCGGGCCTTTCGATTGGAACGGTGCATTCTTCAAGAAATAATAAGCGCCTCAATTTTTGCGTTTTATTTATAAGGCCATCGAAATAATGAAAAGTTGAAAACACAAAAGATGACTCTCTACAATTCAGGCATTACATTGAAAATTTTTGAAGCTTCTTGTTGTCTGTTTATGTATGCTTTTTTCTTTCTTTCTTTTCCTTTCTTTGGAAGATAGTTTTCCTTTTCCAGTATGCTTCACTTTCTCTCTTTTTTCACTAATAAGGAGTGCTTGGTTGACTTGTAGATTTATCCATAATATGTACGGAGATGTGTAGCCATGTAATACTCTGTTTTTTGAATATATCTATACTCTAGTGCATTGCATCAAACAGAATTTGAGAAAATTAGATCATTCACCTTCAGTACTCTTGTTGAGATCACCATCGCCTAATTGGTGAAGGTCATTTTTCCCCCACCCAAATTATCCAGTTTTTGTTATAATAATGAGTGTAGAATTAATTATGCCAACAATATCTTGCATATTGATTGCTGAGATGATGGAATCTCCACCCAACCAATTGATTAATTTGGTGGTTAGCATATTAGGTGATTGACTTGCAAATGGTGATTAATTAAGTGGTTTAGTTTCAGCCAATTCATTTATTAGTCCAATCATATTATTATGCTATGATATCTATCCCATCTATAAATAGAGGACTCGGTGGAGAGGAAAGAAAGGCACAAGAAGAAAAGGGAAGAAAGTGAGAGAAAAAGAAATAAAGAGATATATAAATAATTTTGGAGGGATAAAAATATCAGAGGAAAAAATATTGAAATATTTATTTGTTATCGAAATAACAAAAGAGATATATTTTTATTCTTATTTTTAAGTGCTCAATTCTCGACTCCATTCTAGTTCGCCGGAGCTCGTAAATCTGGTGTGCTACAGATTTAGAGACGTTTGTCGTTGTATCTTTGGAGAAGTTGCGCCTGAACCGTTAGCTGCCACACGGGGTTTATTCTTCTTGCGGAAAGAGTTATACTCGCCTCGGCTTTAATCTTTCCGTTTTGTTTTTTATGTTTTTAATTTATTTTCAGTTGTAATTTAATTTTTCAGTTCAATTGTAATTTTCTAATTTTAAATTATTTGTAAAAAACTGAAAAATACATATCAGTTCGTAGGATTCCCGTGTAAGTTTTACACCCATATCAAACAATCGCAAGAAGAATATCACAACCTACTAGACTGATGGCTTCCACCGGAAATGGTTCCAACACGCAGCATCCGATCAATCATGTACCTGCTGTCCATGTCCCTACTGCTGAGAAGCCCGAAAAATTCAATGGGCTTGATTTTAAAAGGTGGCAACAAAAGATGCATTTTTACCAGACCACTTTGGGTTTGGTGAAATACCTGAAGGACGACCCCCCGGTTATTGCTGAAAATGAGACCAATATTGAACTATGCACTGCGTACGAAGCTTGGGGGCAAGGTGATTACCTTTGCCGTAACTATGTCCTGAACGGACTTAGTAACGAGTTGTACAATGTGTACAGCTCGGTTGGTACTGCCAAAGAGCTTTGGGCTGCTTTGGAAAAGAAGTACAAGACCGAGGATGCCAGGGTGAAGAAATTCATCGTCGGCAAATTTCTTGACTTCAAAATGGTTGACACTAAGACCGTTGTGTCTCAAGTGCAAGAGTTCCAACTCATCTTGCACGATATCCATGCTAAGGGAATGTCTCTGAGCGAGTCATTCCAAGTTGCGGCTGTGATTGAAAAACTGCCGACGGGTTGGAAAGACTTCAAGAACTACCTCAAACATAAGAGGAAGGAAATGAGTCTTGAAGACTTGATTGTTCGTCTTCGTATTGAGGAGGACAATCGTAATTCATCGGGAAAAATTCCGATGATGGAGGCTCGTGCTAACTTGCTAGAGCAAGGCAGCTTGAGCAAGAGGAAGTCCCTTGACAAAGCGAAGCAGCCTGCCAAGGTTTGGAAGTTTACCGGAACTTGCTATAATTGTGGAAAGCCGAACCATATGGCTAAAGACTGCAAGAGGCCAAAGAAAGCTGGGCCAAAGAAAGGTAAATCGAGTGCCCTTATGGCTGAACACGGCCCTGTGTTGGGTGAACTGACCGACTTTGATATGTCGGTTGTGGTGTTTGAAGCCAATATGGTGGATAACCCAAGGGAATGGTACATCGATACTGGTGCCACTCCTGCTAAGAGTCGGAAACTTTACATGGCAAACTCCGCCACGGCTGATGTGGCTGGAGTGGGCACTGTGGTGCTGAAGCTGACTTCTGGAAAGGAGTTGAAGCTTAAGGATGTTCTGCATGTCCCAGACATCCGCAAGAATTTGGTCTCCGGATCTCTTCTTGTTGAACATGGATTTAGGCTGGTATTTGATGCTAAGAAGTTTGTTCTTAGCAAGTTTGGAACTTTCCTTGGTCGTGGCTATCTCGACAAGGGTATGTTCAAAATGAATGTAATGGCCGTGAGCCGTGTAACCGTTTTAAATGATAATGAAAAGCCTATTTCTGTTTATACCGTTGAGTGTTCTGATTTATGGCATATTAGATTGGGACATGTAAATCTAAATGCAATTAAACGGTTAATGAATTTAGAATTAATTCCTAATTCTAAAATCGAATCACAGAAGAAATGTGAAATTTGTATTGAAGCAAAAATGGCTAAGTTGCCTTTTCATTCGGTGGAAAGGAGTACTGAACCATTAGGCTTGATCCATACTGATGTATGTGATATGAAAAGTGTGCAAACAAGAACGGGTAAAAAGTATTTTATTACTTTTACCGATGACTGCACAAGGTTTTGCTACTTATATTTGTTAAGAAGCAAAGACGAGGCTGTGGAAGCGTTTAAGATGTATAAGACCGAAGTTGAAAATCAACTCGGCAAAAAGATCAAAATAATTCGAAGTGATAGGGGTGGGGAGTATGTAGCTCCTTTTGAACAAATATGTTCTGAATATGGCATAATTCATCAAACGACATCCCCTTATTCTCCACAGTCGAATGGGGTTGCTGAACGCAAGAACCGTACGTTAAAAGAAATGATGAATGCTATGTTGATAAATTCAGGATTACCCCAAAACATGTGGGGGGAAGCTGTTTTAACAGCAAATCATATTCTGAATAAAATACCACCTAAAGGAAACAATGAGACTCCTTACGAAATGTGGAAAAATCGTACGCCGTTATAAATACCTAAAAGTGTGGGGGTGTTTGGCTAAGGTTTCAGTACCAGAACCCAAACAAATGAGAACCGGACCAAAGACGGTCGATTGTGTATTTATTGGATATGCGTACAATAGTACAGCATATAGATTTCTGGTTCATAAATCAGAAAATTCAGAGGTATCTGTTGGTACCACAATTGAGTCAAGGAATGCTATATTCTTTGAGAATATATTTCCTCTGAAGGAAAGGGCAGAATCTAGTTCTATTAAACGAACATATGAAACTGGTAATGGATATGTACCAGAGGGTACTGATGAAGAACCGAGACGTAGTAAAAGGATAAAAACATCTAAAACGTTTGGACCAGATTTCATTACGTATATGTTGGACGATGAACCGAGTTCCCTTAAGGAAGCTCTGTCCAACCCAGATGGACCACTCTGGAAAGAAGCTGTAAATAGCGAAATCGAGTCCATTATGCAAACCCATACTTGGGAGTTGGTTGATCTCCCTGATGGTTGTAAACCTTTAGGATGCAAGTGGATCCTAAAGAAGAAATATAAAGCTGATGGATCGATTGATAAGTTTAAAGCACGTTTGGTGGTAAAAGGCTTTAAACAAAAAGAAGGGTATGATTTCTTTGATACCTATTCACCAGTTACGCGTTTAGCGTCGATAAGAGTGCTTCTCTCGTTTGCTGCTTTGCACAATCTTGAGATTCACCAAATGGATGTCAAGACGACATTTTTAAATGGTGAATTGGAAGAAGAAATATACATGGAACAACCTGAAGGGTTTGTTGCACCTGGACAAGAGAGAAAGGTGTGTAGATTGATCAAATCCTTGTACGGACTGAAACAAGCTCCGAAACAATGGCATTTGAAATTTGATGACGTGATGTTGTCAAATGGTTTCAAAATCAACGAATGTCACAAATGTGTTTATGTCAAGAGTACATCAAATGCTTTTGTGATTGTATGTCTATATGTAAACGATATGTTGATCATGGGGAGTAGCCATGAAGTGATCATGGATACGAAAAGAATGTTGAAAAGAAATTTCGACATGAAAGATAGGTTTGGCTGATGTTATTCTTGGAATAAGGATTATCAGAACCCAAGATGGAATTATCTTGTCACAATCTCATTATGTAGAGAAAGTGCTTAAGAAATTTGATACCTATGACGGTGCACAGTCTAGGTGTAAGACACCCATTGATCTTAGTATAAATCTGGTAGTCAATAAAGGTCAACCAATGGCTCAGTTAGAATATTCACGGATAATAGGGAGTCTGATGTACTTGACGAATTGTACACGACCAGACTTGGCCTATCCGGTGAATAAGTTGAGCAGATTTACGAGCAATCCCAGTCATGAACACTAGAATGCTTTGAGAAGGGTACTTAAGTACTTGAGGTACACCCTTGAATGCGGGCTAAAATACTCGAGATATCCAGCCGTACTTGAAGGGTACTGTGATGCAAGCTGGATATCAGATTCGAGAGATTCTCGCTCCACTAGTGGATATGTTTTCTGTATTGGAGGAGGTGCAGTTTCGTGGAAATCCACAAAACAAACTTGTATAGCTCGGTCAACGATGGAATCGGAGTTCATAGCTTTAGATAAAGCTGGTGAAGAAGCCGAGTGGCTTAGAAATTTTTTATCCGATATTCCATGTTGGGATAAGACTTTGCCGCCTGTGATGATTCACTGTGATAGCCAAGCTGCTATAGGTAGGACGCTTGTATAATGGTAAGTCTAGACACATTCGTCGTAGACATAA